TCTCATGCCCTTTGAGTTAATAAGCAAAATAGATAATTAAATGCCCTCTTTTTCAAAAGAATTATTTATGTAATAAAATTATAAAATGAAAAATAACAAAAATTTCGAATATGTAGATGTTTATGAAATCAGTTGCATGTAATAAAACAGAATGAACAAAGGTCAAATTAGGAGAAAAAATAGCTTAGAGCGAACTTTTTTTCATCTGGGCAGTTGCAAGGAATTAATTTAAAATATTTAGAACAGTGCGAGGTCTTTTGCTATGTTTGCGGGAAAAAAATTTCATAATCGTAATTTTCTCTTATTGTAGATTATTACGGAGATCCTTGGCCTCGTAGCGGCCACTAGCTCCTTTTTTGTAAAATGTTGAAACATAGCGGTGGTCTCATGCCCTTTGAGTTAATAAGCAAAATAGATAATTAAATGCCCTCTTTTCAAAAGAATTATTTATGTAATAAAATTATAAAATGAAAAATAACAAAAATTTCGAATATGTAGATGTTTATGAAATCAGTTGCATGTAATAAAACAGAATGAACAAAGGTCAAATTAGGAGAAAAATAGCTTAGAGCGAACTTTTTTCATCTGGGCAGTTGCAAGGAATTAATTTAAAATATTTAGAACAGTGCGAGGTCTTTTGCTATGTTTGCGGGAAAAAAATATCATAATCGTAATTTTCTCTTATTGTAGATTATTACGGAGATCCTTGGCCTCGTAGCGGCCACTAGCTCCTTTTTTGTAAAATGTTGAAACATAGCGGTGGTCTCATGCCCTTTGAGTTAATAAGAAAAATAGATAATTAAATGCCCTTTTTTTTTTAAAAGAGAATTATTAATCGTAATTTTGTAGGATATTTAATACAGGGTTATTGATGTTTCGCATGTCATTATAGAATTTAGTAGAAATTGTGTGAACAAATTTAGAATTGACTTATGACTATGTGAAAAGGTAAACATCCGTTTTAAAAGCGGAAACGGACTAATTTATTATTTGTTAGGGGTGCCAGCCAGATATAAGAGGTGCAGAACAGTTCTTGGGGAAAAAAAATAAAAAATTAAAATTAATAGGATAAGTATTATATAAAAAATTTTATTTTTGAAAAGTAATTTTGATTTGTAATTTTAAATTTTAATATTTAAAAATTAAAATTTAATCACAATTGATCTAATTTAGTTTGATTAAATTTAAGTTATTAAAATTATTTTTATCTTTGTTATGATTAAATTTAAGTTATTAATTAGTTTAAATTTTCAAAATATTTTTCTTGCCTATTATACAACTTGTATTATACAGAATCTGTCCAACTTGGCAGCTTGCCCTTTTTTCACATGATTCCGGTGGTTTAACTACAGCTTATTTAACTTTTTAATAATGGCATCAGTCTATTTTTCTTTTCTAAGTTTAGAGAATAGAAATAATAATGATTTTTTTTTTAGTGAATCCTTAATTCATTCAATAAGGTTTTTAATATAAGGAAAGAGAGTATTTTAAAATTAAAAAAAAAATGTAATTTTAAGTAATTAAAGAGTAAAAAAGGAATTAATTAAAAAAATCTCATATAGGTATATTTTGATGATTTAATCTTAATTTTAATTCATTTAATTAGTAATTTAGAGATTGTTCCCATATTCTTCAAATGTAAAATTTATAACGTTAAAAGTCCAAATGCACAATGTTGTTATGTCTTATCCTCAGTGTCCTGCAGCGCGGGACGGACATCCCACGAGTAGTATACTCATGGAAGGAGGCTTAGGTTTAGGTTTGGTTATCGCACTACGGTTATTTTTTGCACAATCTAGGCTAATTAGACCGGGACTTACAGTTTAACATGGATTCCGAACCACTCGCAAACATCCGTGCAACAGTCAGGGTTTTAATCTGAAGCCTGCGGTACCAAAGGCCAAAGCGCTAGCCAACTGGCCATCAGGCTGTCATGGAAGGGGTGAAAGGGTGAGAAGCTTCTATTGTGATGGAGCACCGGTAGGTAGAAGTCTGACGTAGCTCCGTGACTCTGAAGGAGAGCAGTGTCTTCCGAGAGGACTTTTTGGGAGAACTACCCAGCATTTCGCACTCCCATCCGGCAGTCCGACTAGCGAGGCAAGATGCTGAACATCACAAACGCCATTGAGCACCTCTGTGTCTCTAAATAAGGAGGGCAGTGCCTTCCAGGAAGATTCTTAGGAGGAACTACCTTTAGGTCTACCTTAGGTTTACCTTAGTCTGACTAAGGAGACGAGATACTGAACATCATAAACGCCATCGATTCTCCACGCTTTTGAAACAGTGTCTACAACAATGCTGCCAGCCAATGGAACCTCAGCACCGAAGCTCACCAGCGACGTACCTGACCACTGAACCACGAGTCTGGCTCATTCTAAGATGTTGGCTAGCAAATTACTACGTCGGCGTTCTTTCCTTGTCATGAGTTGCCATAAATATTGTTATGAATATAGAGGGAGTAAGTTGCGGGGAAATGTTTTGCAATGGTAGAAGCGTTGTGTGCCACTCCGTGTTTGAATTTTGATAAATTAAATATTTTTTTGCGATTGTTTTTAAATAAAAGTCCTGATTATTTATGAAGAAGAAAACATCTTACAAGGACACTGTCATATCGTATGGGTATGGCCCCGGAAAATTCCCACCAGGCAGTCCGACTCACGAGGCAAGGTGCTGAACATCCCAAACGTCATCGAGTCTCCTCGCATTTTGAAACAGTGTCTACAATAGAGTCGCCAGCGGATAGAACCTCCACCTTAATGCTCACCAGCGGCTACGAGTCGGGCAAAGGCACTGTAATCCATAGAAGACACGTCTTGGGAATTGAGTGGGATATATTTAAATGGAATAACTACAATTCCGGTTTCATTTCTCTCTTTTTTTCTTCCAAATATAGAGCAACTAATTTCAGAGGTATGACTCGTAATCTTATCCTGATGGAACTTAACACAGTGAAGATCGTTTGGATAAATTGTTGGAATGTGTTTCTTTAAATATAGGTGTTAAAACATACTTCTGGTTGTAATTCGAGTTAGTTTTCACATTTTTTTTCCAACGGAATCCAGTTGTGGTCATGAAATCTTTAATAAAACTTTTCTTGTTTTCTCAGAATCGATAGTTCACAAATTTTTGTTCCCCTCTTTTTCGGTAGCACATAGATCTTTTTCTATTGCAATCAGATAAATACTTCCAAGCCTCATCCATTCTAACTACATATTTCAGCTTTTTCACGTCAAGCAATTTTCATACAACAATCTATTTCACATATTTTGGGCAAAAACAGGTCAGCTTGTATATTTTTTTTTGTTTGTATTAGCTTTACATCAGAAATTATAATTTTATTTACAGTTCCTGTAAATATGTTCAAATGTTTTACAATGGATTTTTTGGGGGGTGATTAAATCTTCATTGAAAACATGAAATGCGACCTCAGATATAAGATATACCCGAAGTGGGTATGTATTTTTTACTTTTTCCTCTGTCACATCTAAATTTAAACTTCTCTTTCCTTTTTTTTATTACTTATGTCTCTTATTTAAGAATAGAACCATGATTTTCATATCGTTATTTTATTAATAAATAAAGAACACTTCGTAAAAGGCAAAAATATAGTCTACAATTTTTTGTTTATTGTCCTGCGATATTTTAAAGGAAAGGATAATTTTAATTATATAATTGCAAGTGAATAATTTAATAATTTTACTAACTGCAAGTGAATAGTTTAATTTAATAATTTTACTAATTGCAAGTGAATAGTTTAATTTAATAATTTTATTAACTGCAAGTGAATAGTTTAATTTAATAATTTTACTAACTGCAAGTGAATAGTTTAACTTAATAATTTTACTAACTGCAAGTGAATAGTTTAATTTAATAATTTTACTAACTGCAAGTGAATAGTTTAATTTAATAATTTTAATAAATGCAAGTGATTAATTTAATTTAATAAATTTACTAATTGCAAGTGACTAATTTAATTTAATAATTTTACTAATTTGCAAGTGACTAATTTAATTTAATAATTTTAATAATTGCAAATGACTAATTTAATTTAATAATTTTAATATTTGCAAGTGACTAATTTAATTTGATAATTTTAAGAATTGCAAGTGACTAATTTAATTTAATAATTTTACTAACTGCAAGTGACTAATTCAATTTAATAATTTTAATAATTGCAAGCGACTAATTTAATTTAATAATTTTAATAATTGCAAGTGACTAATTTAATTTGATAATTTTAAGAATTGCAAGTGACAAATTTAATTTAATAATTTTACTAACTGCAAGTGACTAATTTAATTTAATAATTTTACTAACTGCAAATAAATAAATTAATTTTAATAATTGCAAGTGATTAATTTAATTTAAAAATTCTAAGAATTGCAGGGGAATAATTTAATTTAATAGTTTTAATAAATGCAAGGGAATAATTTAATTCAATAATTTTACAAATTGCAAACGATGATTAAATCTTATTTCTAATTGATGCCATTCAGGTTTTTTATAATTGTTTTTTTTCTTTTGATAATATAATAAATCGATCGTCTGGGTTGCCAGTTTGAGGCAAACATAATCCCCGCGTGATTTTCACAATGGCCACTGTGGTCACTCTGCCTTTTATTTGTACGGGACTGGTCACTTCGCTTACAGAATAAAAATGAGTTTTTATATATATATATTCATTTAGAATTGGTTTTAGGCTTGTATTTTAGGTTTCAGGTAGTATTAGTTTTAGGCCAGTTTTAGAATTAATACTCGTTTAAAATTAGTTTTAGACAATTATTTCCTGTAGTTTAATCGGGATATTGGTTATTTACCATTGTCCATCACTACTCTATGACGTTGGCACGCAGGCAGAAAAAAGTCTACTATCCTACAACTTTTTTAAAAGAAATGATTAATTTTTTTTTTTTTTTTTTTTTTTTGCTGTAAATAAATGTAAATTTATCCATTAATTTTTTTTTTTTAATTTTTCTAGATATTTAGTCTTTATATTCTATTCATAATATACCAGTTCTCGTTAGATCACCGAAGTTAAGCATCATTAGGCGCGGCCAGTACTTGGGTGGGTGAACACCCGGGAATACCGAGTGCCGCTGGCATTCACAAGTTTGGGACCTGAATGGCCGAGTGTCTAGCGCTCTGGCCCCTCAGTGGCACAGGTTTCGGGTTCGAATTCCGGCGGTGCCATGGATGTTTGTAGTGGTTCGGAATCCACTTTAAGCCGTAGGTCTCGGTCTTCTATGACTGTAAGAGCGTTACGGAGCCAAAGTCAGACTTCTACCTACGGGTGCTCCATCACAGCAGAAGCTGCTTCCTTCCCCTTCAATCATGAGTACGTATGGGCTCGTGGGCTTGGCCAGCCAAGTGGGATAATAAACAACAACAACATATTCTATTCATAAATTTTCTTGTCTAATATTTTCCCTTTAAATTGATTAAACAACAAAATATTCATTGATAAGAACTTTTTGTAATGTTATGGTGCTACACGCACTTCCTGGGTAGTGCTAAGAAAGTAACGACTGTGCAGCACTTTCCTTAAGGCAACGAAGACCATTGTCTAATTGTTTGCCTGATGCATTAGAACAGTGGGCTCCAATCTACGGCCCGCGGGCCAAATCCGGGCCAGTGTCATCCATCCGGCCCGCGACAGCTAATAGCTTATTGTTGCTGTAATAAGTTGGATAAAAAAAACACAGAATGATAATAACTCGGTAAAGCTTAATGGCAAGCATAATACGCGGAAAATTTAACTTAAGCATAACAACTAAAAATGATTGAAATGAATCCCACTAACATTATAAGCTAGTGAGCATCCCGCGGTTACCCTCGGTAGTTATGTTGGGTATCGCATATGTATGCGTATGTATCGCATCTGTATGCATATCGATGTTTGTGATGTATATATCCTGAATCGAACATATGATTTTTACCCAGAAAATCCCTCAGGAACGGAAAAGCTAATTGAACGCGAATGAAACCGAGGGGTATCCACTTGTAAAAAAATACTAATGAGATTTATGTAATTGTGATTTTTCACTGACAATAGTTTGTAGTTGTGGATCAATTTTACTTGTACCAATTATTAAAAGAGATTGTAGTAATTGAACCGTACTACAGAATCGTAATAGAGCAGGTACTCGGCGACTAGTCTAGAAATTAGATATTGGCAGAAAAATTAAAACGGTTTTGGCCCTTAGTACTTACTGGAGTAAACAGTATGGCCCAAAGGCTGGAAAGTTTGGAGATCCCTGCATTAGAACAAAAAAACTTTATGTTCTTTTGGAATAAGGTGATGAGCTTTATTTTATCATTGCTTTATGGTATCAATAACTTTTCTCCTGCTAGTCGTCCATCCACGTTATTTTTCATGGTCGACCAACCCCAATTCTTTCTTACCTGTAATTTGAGAATTACCTTTTTAATAAATTTGAAATTTTTTAATAAAACGTTTTTAATAAATTTAAATATACTTACAATAATTAATCAATTTAAAATTAAAATTAAAATTTTTTAAACTATTTTAATACTAAAATTTTTTATTGATCGCAGCAAGATTTTCTTTTTTTTTCTTTCTACAATTACATGACCGTCCTCGTTTTTTAAGTTTTACACGCCAATGTAGCGTCGAATCAATTTCTTTCTTAAACGCCTGTGAAATCCTCACCATTTTCTTTAAGCAGCATGTTCAGTACCTGTTTTGCTAAAACAGTAATAAATCATGTTTCCATTTTTACATATAAGTTCAGGTGGAAGAATATTTTCCGCATGAACAAATCTGTAATTGTTTTACAAAAAAAAAACGTTATTTCTGTTCAATATTGTTTTGTTTCTTCGAATATTTTTATTAATAAAACAAGAGGATAAAACCCCGCTTCAATGCTTCATTTCAGAAGGCTGAGAGGAAGCTGCGGCATTGGTTAGCCTATGCAGTTGAATTTCACTCCGTAATTTTCTGCCTCAAATCTACGGGTTATGCGTTAAAAAAAATTACAGTACTTGGTAGAATTGGTTATAGGTCTCCATCTAGTCTATATACCTTTTTTTTTTCTTTGAAGTTTCATAAAAGTAATATATTTAATATGTTAAGCTTATCGTGTAAGCTATTCTGCCATTATTGAACTGAAGATTTGGTATTGGTTTGATTTCAGTCTTCACTAACTAGTGTCATTTAATATGATAAGCTAATTTTGTTTTAATAAGCTATTCTGCCATTGCTGAGTTGAAGGTTTGGTACTGGTTCGATTACAGTCTTCACCTAACTAGAGTTATTTAATATGTTAAACTAATCGTGCTTTAGTAAGTTATTCTGCCGTTATTGAACTGAAGATTTGGTATTGGTTTGATTTCAGTCTTCACTAAGTGTTCATTTAATATGTTATGCTAATCATGCCTTAATAAGCTAATTTGTCTTCATTGAGCTGGATGATTGGTACTGGTTAGATTTCAGTCTTCACATACTAATATAATTTAATATGTTAAGCTAATCCTTTTTTTAGTAAACTATTCTGCCGTTATTGAGCTGAATGATTGGTATTGATTCGATTTGGTACTTACTTGTGTTCATTTAATATGTTAAACTTGCTTTAATAAGATACGCAGCCTTTATTGTGCTAAATAATTGGTACTGCTTCGATTTCAGTCTACATAGTTAGTGTCATTTAACATATTAACCTAATCGGGCTTTAATAAGCTATTCTGCCGTTATTAAGATGAAGGTTTGGCACTGGTTAGATTTCAGTCTTCACCTAACTAGTGTCATTTATTTCGCCAAGCTAGTTTTGTTTTAATAAGCTATTCTGCCGTTATTGAGCTGAATGATTGGTATTGATTCGATTTGGTACTTACTTGTGTTCATTTAATATGTTAAACTTGCTTTAATAAGATACGCTTCCTTTATTGAGCTGAATAATTGGTACTGCTTCGATTTCAGTCTACATAGTTAGCGTCATTTAACATATTAACCTAATCGTGCTTTAATAAGCTATTCTGCCGTTATTAAGATGAAGGTTTGTTTCTGGTTAGATTTCAGTTTTCACCTAACTAGTGTCATTTATTTCGCCAAGCTAATTTTGTTTTAATAAGCTATTCTGCCGTTATTGAGCTGAAGATTTGGTACTGGTTAGATTTCAGTTTTCGTCTAGTGTCATTTAATATGTTAAGTTAATGATGTTTTAATAAGATATTCTACCGTTATTAAGATGAAGGTTTGGCACTGGTTAGATTACAGTCTACACCTAACTAGTGTCATTTATTATTTTAAGCTAATTTTGTTTTAATAAGCTATTCTACTGTTATTAAGTTGAAGGTTTGGTACTGACTAGATTTCAGTCTTATCCTAATTTGTGTCATTTAACACGTTTAATCATGTTGTCAATGTAGTTGAGCTGTTTTGGTTTTTTCTTACTTGTAACATGTATGCGGGCCAATTTTCTTTAAAAGTCTCCTGGTAATCAATTCTCCATCTTTTTAAAGGGGGCAGTGTAGGTTAGGTAAAGTTGAATGCTCTACAAATAGTTCCACAGTTGTGAACAATGACCTCATAGCAAATGCTCGGCGTTAAAAAAAAAATTCAATCACGAATTGAAAAATACTATAAAATACTACAAATAATGGCATTCGTAATTGCATTTCTGTTTTGTTTGCCCAAATCATTCGTTTTTCATCATTATTTCATTTCGCTCGGGAATTGTATTTAAGCAAATTTAAACGTAAAACAATAAACATTAAAATCACGAAACGCTGAATTGAACGTTTGTTTCAAAATACTTTAGAAATGCCATTTATTTCCTTAGATTTGGAACAGAAAGTTATTTGTTTAAGACAAATACTTAGTATTTTCTTAAAGTGGCTCCAATTGTCTGTTAAAAGATTGTTTGGAGAAAACAACCACTTATTAAACTTTTATGTTTTACAAACTTTAGGAGATTTTGATTTTCAAATGGGAACAAACAATAGTTCGGTAAGAACAATATTTTTAAACCATCGAATTTAAAATGTCGGTGTGTTATTTGAAGAGTCGAGGCAACTCATGAGAAACATTCATGTTTTATGTTAGCAGAAATCAAAGTACATTCTAAAACTCTTAAGCAATAGCTTAGGTCGAGCAATAAAGAAGAAATAAAACCACGTAAAAAGCGGAATGCTATTTAAATTCAAAATGTAAAGGATTGTGAATACCATTTACTTCATAACAATTTTCTATTTTAAATATAAAGACAAAGTAACCAAACTGGTTTTCTTAAACCAAATCTTAAGATGCAAAACTTCTAGTTAAAAACACAATTCTCTTCCCTCCCCCCTTCTCAAAAACAAGATTCTTTTTATTTGACCTTAAAATAATAACAATCATTGAGTTTTCTTTTTTAAGTTTAGATATAGTTTAATCATTTACAGAGAGCACTACACTAAAAAAAAAAAATAAATAACTGATCAGTTATAGCGTGCAAAATTTTACTATTAGGGGGAAATAGGTTATTTTAGAAGACATTTAATTGCAATAAAAATAATTTTTAGTTTTAGAAATTAATATTTTAAAGAAAAGAAATATTAGAAGAAAAAAATTCCTCACTAACAATTAAATGTTTTTCGTTCCAAATTGCTTTCTTATTGTAGATTAATACGGAGATCCTTGGACGCGTAGCGGCCACTAGCTCCTTCTTTGTAAAATGTTGAAACATAGCGGTGGTCTCATGCCCTTTGAGTTAATAAGAAAAATAGATAATAAAAATAGATAATTAAATGTACTTTTTTTTTTTTAAAGAGAATTATTTATTTAATAAAATTATAAAATGAAAAATATCAAAAATTTCAAAAATGTAGATGTTGATGGAATCAGTTGCATGTAATAAGCCCGAATGAACAAAGGTCAAATTAGGAGAAAAGCCAGCTTTTTTCATCTAGGCAGTTGTAAGGAATTAATTTAAAATATTTAGAACAGTGCGAGGTCTTTTGCTATGTTTGCGGGAAGAAATATCATAATCCTAATTTTGTAGGATATTTAGTACAGGGTTATTAATGTTTTGCATATCATTATAGAATTTAGTAGAAATTTTGTGAACAAATTGTCTTAAAATTTAATCGAGAGAGCTCGTCT